CAAAGGTGCAAAAGTAATTCAATGGAGGAAGAACAGTCTTTTCAACAAAATAGTTTTTTCATTCAATTGCTGCACCAACTGAATACACATAGGCAAAAAAAAAAAAATTCACCTTGACCTAAACCTTTCATCTTATACAAAATTAACTCAAATGGATCATAAATTCAAATGTTAAAGTTAAAATTATAAAAATTTTAGGAAAAAAAACAAAGTCTTTGGGACCTAGGATCTTGGGACTTTAGACATTATACTAAAAGCATTTCCCATAAAAGAAAAAAAATCAGTAAACTGGACTTCATCAAAATTTAATAAAAGTTCTGCTCTGTGAAAGACCCTATTACAAGGATGGAAAGACAAGCAACATAGTGGGAGAAAATATCTACGAACTACGTATCTGACAAAGAATTTGTATCTGTAATATATAAACAATTCTCAAAACTTAATATTAAAAACCAACAAATTCAATTAGAAATGGGCAAAAGACATAAAAAGACATATCATTTTACTGATGAAGATATATGGACGGCAAATGATGACATCAAAAGATGTTAAGTATCACTAGCTCTGGGGAAATGCAACTTAAATGAGTTATCACTACACACCTATTAAAAATAGAATCAGTAAAATAGTAACAATACCACATCCTGGTAAGGATGTAGAGAAAGTGGATCTCTGATACACTTCAGATATGATTGTAAAATAATTCAGATATTATAGAAAACTGGCAATACCTTTACAAAAATTATAAAGAGAACTAAATCATATATTTACCATATGATCCAGTAATTTCTTTCCCAGAAAATTTATATCCACTCAAAAACCTGAACATGAGTATTCACAGAAATTTTATTCATAATAGCCACAGTGGAAACAACCAAGATGTCCTTCAATATAGGTGAATGGTTAAACTGTGACATAGATGCAATGCAGACTACTACTCAGCAATGAAAAGAAGTGAGCTATTGATACATACAACTCGAATGGATCTCAAGAACATAATGCTGAGTGGGGGAAAAAAAACTCAAAATATCACATAGTGTATTATTCCATTTCGACAACAGTCTCAAAATGACAAAATTACAGAGTTGGAGAACAGATTAGTGGTTGCTAAAGGTTAGAGAAGGTGGGGATACATAGGAGGTGCCTAAGATTATAAACGAATAGCACAAGGGAGATCTTCATAGTGATGGAATAGTTGTGTATCTTGATTGCAGCAGTGGTTAGGTTAATCTACAGCTGATTTTTAGTGGCACAGAACTATACACACACTGGGTTGTACCAATGTCAATCTCCTGGTGTTGGCATTATACAACAGTTATGTAAAATGTAACCATCAGGGGAAAACAGCAAAGGGTAAGGACATCTCTACTATTTTTGCAATTTCCTGTGACTATATAATTACCTCAAAATAAAGTTAAAAGAGTTTCTGAAAATCTGAGGAAAAGGGAAGAGAAGACATAGCTCTGTAAATAACAAGAGTGTAGAGACTCCTTATTAATCTTAAGAGTTGTTTCAAGGGCCAAGCACAATAAAATAATAAAAGTTTTAACAGTACCTACTATGATACTTTAAGTGCTTTCCATATTATTCCCCCACTTAATCCACATAACATTTTATAAAAGAAATACAACAACCCCATTTTACAGAGGAAAACTGAAGCTGAAGGAGGTTAAAGTCAATTTGTTCATGGTCACACAGTGAGTGGTCAAGCCATGACTTAGACTCAGATTGACTCCAGAGACATGCCTCCTGCATATCACTGTATCAAGTATAAAGATGTTCAGTGGGGACAAAAAAGGTATCCTTCAAAGAGTGTGCAAAAGCTTGGACTAAACAAGGTTAAACCAGTTTATCCTCCGTAGGGTTCTCAGAACTTTTAAAATGCGTGTTTAGAAGGCTATGATACATGGTTTTTCCCTCAATGTATTTGCTCAGGGAACCCTTCCCCCAGAATATATAATCCAAGAGTCTCTCATTCAAAAGTCAAAATGTTTAAACTAGACTTGTAGCAATCATTTCACAATATATACATTGAATCATTATATTGTACACCTGAAACTAATATATACACCAAATGTATCTCAACAAAAAGGAAAAATATTTAAATGACTTAATCTTAATCCTGTTCTCTGCTTCACATATTGGCAAACTACAAATGCTTCAAGCTGTGTTGTCAATGTGGTGGCCTCTAGCCAAACTATTTAATTATAAACTATTTAAATAAAAAATTCAGTTCTTCAATCACACTAGCCACCTTTCAAGTTTTCAAGTTGGCTCAAGGGCCACATATGACTAATGGCTGCCTTATTGGACAGAACAGATAATAAAACATTTCCATTATTAGAGAAGTTCTGCCAGACACTAGGCTAAAGGTTTTTGTTTTTTGAAGAATATGGGCCTGCCCAATCCTCAGAGAAGCCACGCTGTGAGTTATACATGTAATTGCCACTATACCCCTATAAAAGGGGGCTGGGTGAAAATTTTTTGATAAGGCTGACTACTGCCACTCTGAGGTCAAGGCAAGGGAAAAAGGTAAGCAAAGAAGTGGAAAAAATAGCAAAAAGAGAAAGCAACCATATGCAGCTGGGGAATGAAGCTTGAACTGGGATTCAGGAGACCTGAACTCTACTCCCTACTTTGCCAGTGATTCATTAAAAGAAAAACTTTTTAATTTTTATAGGTGGTGCTAATCAACTGTGACTTGATCAGACAAGTCTCTTCACTACTTTGGGCCTCAGTTTCCTCTTCTACAATACAAACTTGAATTGGATGATCTCAAGATTCTCTCGAGCTCTGTATGGTCAACACATACACACACAGACATGAACTGAGAAAGTGAGAAAAAAGGGCAAAAATAAGAGACTGGTGGTGGAAACTGGCATTCTTGTCAGGCTGCCACATTTCTATTCCTGAGGATGAGATACGGATACTACCAAAGAAAGACTTAATTCAATGAAATAAATACGTACTGAGCAAATATTTGTAACAAACTGCACTATCTGGAAGTAGCACCACACTCACGCACACACGCACGCCAAATATGATAAGCTTGAAAACCAAAATACTTGAAGGAATTCAAGACTCACAAAACTTTAGATTGAAAGACTGGTTATTTAAAGTGTAATAACTGGCCTAGTGTTAAGAAACACTTAAGTATCTTAAAATCTTGAGAAAAAATTAATCAATTACATAAAATCATATACAAAGTACAAACACATGGCTTTATCAAAACTCATACCCCTCACCCCACTTCTTATAGACATAAACACAACGGCTTACTTGGGCATAGGAAGACACCAATTCTGGCCAATCTTATTTTTTTTCTAAAACCCACACTTAATTAGGTAGTCGTAAACTTTCTGGGTTAAATATTCATAATTTCACTGAGTGTGCTGGAATTAAATAAATTTTCAATTTGTTGTGCCAAACAAAATAAACTGCAATTGGAATTCTTTACCGTCTACTTCCGCGCACGTCTTACTTTTCAAAGGCACAGTTGGTCCTGTTTCCTAGTTTCAAAGGGGAGAGAAAACCCTCCCCCCACCTCTTTTCTGAGAATCAAAATTCCGTATGAAAATTAAAAATGATTGTTACCTCCAGATTAAAAAAAACCAACATAAACTGCGTTTGATATTTTACGCTGCAGAAGCTAAGGTAACCAGTGAGTGGACTAACCTCTGGAAGAATTCAAACTCATTAAATCATCAAACCATAGCCATGAATATTTGGGAGAAACAGAGACTGAGTATTAACGCATTACATCAAGGAAAAAAGGAAGAAAGGATTTTAGCGACAAACCTTTAGTTTATAAAAGCAGTTTTTAAATACCCCAGTTACTAATCCTACGCTGAGGACCGCGCGACGAGGAAACCCTGGCAAATTTGAAAACAAACGTTGGTAAAGGCTGGGGGTAGTGCGTGGGGGATACTGGTAAGGGGTTAGTACTGACAGATCGGCCTCGAAGCGAGGAGCCTCAAGTAGGTCAGACTATTGTCAACGGTCGGTTTGAAATGCAGAGTCCACCCCAGTGGGCGCACGGGAGTAGAGCAGCAGGAGGTAAGCAAGGGTTTGGTGTCTTTCAGTGCTTAAGGGCGGGACATCGGAACTGAGAGACCTAGAGCCCAACCTCGGGGCAGTTCACCTGCTCTCACCTCTCTTGGGGGCCTTCATCACAGGAACCCCTCCAGTCCTCTCGCCGTTTTCCTGCTTGTCCTTGTGCTTGAAATCGCCAGGAACGCAGGAGCCGGGGTCGCCATCGGAGCCGCGGTGGTGATGGTGCTTGTGCCGCTCCTTGTGGCCCTTATGCTTGGGCCCGCCCGCGCTCACCGTCAGGGGCGAGAAGGTGAAGAGGGCCGAGGTGCCTGGGGCCGGGAGCGGGGCAGCAACAGCGGGCCCAGCGGGTGCCAGCGAAGGTGGCGGCGGAGGCGGCAGGAGCAGAGGCTCAACAGGGCCTGGGACGGTTGGGGCAGCATTCGCTGGCGGCAGCGGCCCGGGATGTTGGCGGCTGCGACGACGCCGGTGAGGGGGAGCGAGAGGGGGGTCCTGGCTCGGCCGCCCCCGCTTCTCCTGAGATCCCCCACTGCTCGCCCGGCGCTGCCGCTTCACTCCCCGCGGCGAGACCCCAGCCTGGGGTTTCTCTTTCCCTTCTTTGTCCGGCTCCTCCTGCGCCGCCACCGCCCGTACTACGCGCACTGCTCCGACCTGCGCAGCCATTTCACCCACAAACACACATTTAAATGGCCCGACCGCCCCCCCGTCCGCGTATCGCGCAAGCGCCGCCCGCGCACGGCCCGCTGGGCATTGGAGTCTCGCCCCCGCCCTCCGCTTCTCGGCCGTTCTTCATCCGATGCTGAACATGCCGGAAGCGGCAGTTCCGGCGCTTTCTCCGCAAGCCTCACCAAACCCAGCTCTATTGTAAAGCACCCTGGGCCGCGCAGAGCCTCATGGAAGCGGTAGTTCCCTTGCGCCCCGCGTCAAGGCCCTGGCTGGGTGAGCGGAGGAGCCGGGAGAGAGCGTGCGCCGAGTCACGCTTCTGGCTGCGACGCAACTGCCGCTGGGCGGAGAGTTGCCGCCAAACGCCTCAACGGCCTAAACAATGTTAATGGCTTTCAGAGTCTGTCGGCGCGTTCTCATTATTATCTTCGTGTGCCCCTTTATTTTTACATGGAGTAGGTAGTCTCCATACTTACTTTGAAAGTTCATATTCCTCTCATAACCTTTGTGAGATAAAAATATCCTGCCTTTTATTTTGGACAAGTGGTGAATGAAGAGGAAAGGTGAACTTAATATGTGAAATAAGGACGATTTTGCTTTAAAATCTAATGAGGCTGCAATTCAGAAATTTTTTGAGCCTCTTCATGGGCATTGCTATGGTTACAGCTGCAGGCGTAACAAGGCAGGTGCTAGAACTGCCTGGGAACCTGGTGAGCGCTGCCCAGCATCCCCTCTAATGCCAATAAAGGTAGAGTCCATCATTTATTTCGAAGTCATCCTTACAGTTAGGAAAAAATTCTAGATGGAAAACAATGTTTTAAATTTTTTTCGTAGGATTTTTTCAAATTATAACTGTAACGTTGCATCAGTCTGAAAAGTGCGTCTATCAGGGAACGCTCCAAAACTCGTAACTGCATCAAGGTCCCTGCTCAGGAATTCATTTACAATTTCGTCAACTTAGATTTTATTTACCTAAGATTCTTTTAATATTTTGGTCCTTGGTAAAGATGTTTGAAAATAATTCATTACTATAAAGTACGCAGATAACATCACTGTGTTTTGATGCACCAGTGCCTGGAGAAATACTCAGCTAAATTAACAATACAGTAAAGATAGTTGAAAAACAAAAAAGTTTATTGAGCACCTACTGTATATATTGTACTACAATAAACAGGTAACAATATTTCATCCGGTTTGCACCAGCATTAGGCTTCCTAAAAAATACTAACAGTTTAAATACCTCATTTTTCTGGAAGTTTTAAGTAAGCTTTTTAAAATGAAGTTGAATCATTAAAACTCAGGGGAATCTTTTGTAATAGAAATTACTGTTACATAAAATTGGATTTGAAAGATAAGATTTTAAGGCAGATCCATATTGACATCTAAATTTTTAAGTAGGAGTACCTCTGGCTATTTGGATGTAAGCTGCACGTGTTTATATAGGACCTTTGAAATAAGGAAAATGTCACCAGAAGAAAGCTATTTTGTTGATAATTCTTCTAGATTTGGTAATTGAATAACTTCAGTTATAAGTTATCATAAATGTAGGTGAACATTTTGTTAGTATATCCTAATACTAAACTATTTACATTTTATTCTCTTAAAATACAACTTTTCTTACTACTCTACATTCCCACAACATTTGTTGGGAAGAGTACAATGTATACTTCATTTAGGCAAAAATAACTACCAGGGAATAGTCATTGTGACAAGCGGTAATTTTGTACTGCAACCACAAGTAAGATTTTTTTAAACCCTTTTTATAGTAAATTATAGCAAGGTGGACATTTAATTGAGATCCAATTCTTATATACCTTTTTAAGTTTATATTTATGTAGAAACATACAGTAAAACTAACTTACAAAAATGAAAAATCAGTTCATGCTTAAATTGTTTCTCATACAGCATTCTCTATATAAACTCAAGTGAAACACTTTGATTTGTGGTTGCCAGCCCAATAAAACTGAGATGAAAATGTAAAACTTCTAGCACTTGTTTATATATTGTTTTTCTTTTAAAAGCTATTGAAACATTACCATATCTTTGTTGTTGAAATTACAAATACCGAGCAATTATTTTATTCTAGTAGATTTTTTTGCAGATGCACTTGCAGCCTATATTCCAAAATTGTGTTAAATATTCCAAGTTGGTGGTGGGTTCCTTGGTCCTTTGGGTTTTGAAAAATGATTTGCAAAACCTGGGAATGACAACAAAAAATTGAATGAGAAGGATGTTTTTTTTTTTCTGTATAAGTGAATACTTGGACTTTAGAGTGTGTTATAATGTATGCAAGTACATGGATTTTTTTCAAAAGGGTAGGCAGCAGCGTCTTTGATCAGTTTAGTAATAGATTGTAAAGGCATAGTGATTAAACTAATACATGGTAACAATAGGATACTGATAACATTTTAAATTTGTAGAACACCAAGTTAATAATGGTGGTAATTAGATGAAGAAACCTGGTTATAGTAGCCTTTGGTAATTCACCATATAATATCCTTTTTCCTCAGCTTTATGGAGATAATATTGACAAATAATATATATAAGTTTAAGGTGTGCAACATGATGATTTGATACACCTACATACTATGAAATGATTACTACATTCAGTTTAGGTAACACTTCCATCCCCTCACATAATTACCATTTTTTTGTGGTGATTACATTGAAGATTTACCCTTCTTAATGTTCAAGTATATAATACAGCACTGTAAATACAGTTGCCATGCTGTACATTAGATCCCCAGAACCTACTATATTATAACTGGAAGTTTGTACCCTTTGACCAGCATCTCCCCATTTCCCCTAACCCCACCCCCAACCCTGCCAGCCTCTGGCAATCACCATTCTACTCTGTATTTCTATGAATTCAGCTTTTTTTAGATTACACATGTAAGTAAGAACATCAGTATTTGTCTTTGTATCTGACTTTTCTTATTTGGCATAATGCCCTCAAGGTCTATATCAAAAGGATCACAAAAGGCATGATTTCCTTCTTTTTCTGGCTTAATAATGTTCATACATGTGAAATAAAATTTTTTTCTTTATCATTTCTTTATCTGTCAGTAGACACTCAGGTTGTTTCTGCATTTAGCTATTGTAAATAATGCTGCAAAGAACCTGGGGTGTAGATATGATAGTTCTATTTTTAAATTTTTGAGGAATTTCCATACTGTTTACCTTAGTGGCTGCACCAATTTACATTCTCACCAACAGCGCACAAAGGTTCCCCTTTCACTGACACTTATATGTCGCCTTCTTGATAGCGGCCTTTCTACCAGGTGTGAGGTGGTAGCTCACTGTGGTTTTGATTTGCATTTCCCTGACGATCAGTGATGTCCAGCATCTTTTCATGTGCCTGTTGGCTGTGTATGTCTTTTTTTGAAAAATGTCTATTCAAGTCCTTTGCTCACTTTTTTAACTGGATTGCTTGTTTTCTTTTAAATAATATCCTTTATCTATATCTTCTCACACACCACCCACCCATAAAAAAAAAAAAAACAGGGAAATTTCAATTTCAAAAATAAGCACTATTGCTTTACAAAATTATCGTTAAATACAGTTATACTTCTACTTGAACCCAGAAAGCCCTCCATTTACTAAAATACTAAGTTTGAAAAGCTTAGGGGAAAACAATAATAAACAATCTTGAAAAACTAAGTAACTGGTCATTTTTATTTCGCTCTCTCCCTCAAGCACTCCCCTTCTCCCTCCCAAGGAAGGATAAGGAAATTTTCCACAAGCAGTGAAGGCTATTTTGGGGTTACTTTCAAAAGATTTGCAGGATGAAAACATTGGTTATCACTTCAGCAACACATGACTTTTCTTTGATGGAGGTATATTTTCAAGGTACTCTTACACTTAGTAACTTTACGGGCTCAAATTGAGCAATGAAAGTTTTGAAATACAAGGGGAGAACAGAGAATGGAAACCTTTAATTTCATCAGCCTACAAATATATACCTTACAGAATGGACCAGAATGTGATGAAAGGATCAGATGCTGTATTTGTTAAAGCATCCAGCACAATGCCTGGCACAATGTAACTACTCAAGTATTACTTAAATCTGAACCACAAAAAAATATACCAGAACTGGAAGAAAAGGAGAATGGGGAAGAGGAAAAGCAAGCAAGATAAAAACAAGAAAGCCACTAACATTTACTAATGGTGGTGGTAAAAAAAACTGGTGATACACAGCCTAGTTGATGTACATTTTAGTTCCCTGAGTAGAAAAAGAGACAGAAGGAAAAATATTTCAGGTTAAATAGTTTGAAATAATAGTCACAAAAATAGTCACAAATCATCCATTTGATGCAGGTAGCTGGACTATAACCCAACTGGACTGAGACTAGATGTAAGAACATAATATGCAAGTACTAAGTATCTGAACTTTGAGTAATACCTATATTCTGTCTCTTTCAACTGATCAGTTCTCAATAGTTGAGAATACTGAGTTAACTTCTTTTTGTATGTAGGCCAATTCAGAAAAAATAAAAATGTTTATCAAGCACAAAATTTTTTCGCGAATTTAAATACTTTTCTGAATACAATATTTTCCTCCCTTATGAAAGAGAGCCAATGGAAAAGTTAAGTGCTGCTTTTGATGTAAAATATTCAAATCTAGGCATATTTGAGAAGAAATCACATAGAGGCAGCATTCTAATATTTTATGCTCATATTAGATTACAGGCTGTTATAAAGTTAGATGGGCCATGAGTTACTCAAGTGGTATCACTGAGGGAAAAGAAGGAAACAAGGAACATTTATTTGTATTCCAGCAAACTTTGGTACTTTTTTCATAGGTTATATAATATTCTCTATGAATCTTCTTAAATGATTTCACAGGAATAATAACATTTTTCTAATAACATTTTAAACCTTAGAGTTAACATAATCCATATAAAATTTTATGATCCAACAAACACCAGAAGTTGTAGTTAAATAGTTTGCCAAGGTAAGATAGGGACCATAACCCAGGTGTGGCAGAGATTGCTATCTGTCCACCAAAATCTTTCCTTACTTCTTCTTTAACAGAATTGTAAATAACAGCTGTCTGCCCTGCATTATTCTATCTCCCAGTTTCTCTCTCTTGCAATTTGGATACAGTACATGTCTAAAGGGAAGGTGAGGTGACATAATGTTGCCACTTGCAGGCCAGTGCCTTAAGACCAAAAACACTTGGTCTTAACACCTATTTCACATTTTTTTCCTCATCTTCTTGCCACCTGCAATCTGAATGTGGCAGCAATCCAATTTTGGCCATACGGAAGAGGACAACACCATAGAGCAACAGTTCTCAAGTGATCCATATGGGGGTGCCCCAGACCCTTTAAAGGGGTCTGTTTTTTGGTTAATAATTTTTAGTAGTAATAGCCTACATAAATTCCTACACTTCTTAGACAAATTTATCATCATACTAAAATATGAATTTATATCATAAAATAATAGAATGATTAATATAAAATCATATTAAGTTTATAGCTTACATTTAAGGGTGATTGAACAAGTACTTGCTTTAAATTGTCTGAATTGTTTCACCTCCTACTGTTGAATGAATTATACAAGATTTGATAGTAGCAACTGCTGTTCTTTTCATCACACTTGCATATTTTTTATAACTTTGCTTAGATATGAACTAGACTATTACAACATCTCAGAATTTCTTCATTTGGCTAGTCACATGCATTTACTACAGGCCAACATAATTATTTGGTTACCTAGCTTTATTTTCTGCCTATACTAGGCAATTCAGTCCTACATAAGATGTTAAAAAGTAGCTGAGGTAAAAAATAGAAAGCTAAGTTGCATGGAAAAGAATATAAATATAAGGACCTAGACATGCAACCCTAAATCATATTTAAAGTTGTATCTCTGATATTGTAAATGAGTAATTTAGGTAAACATTTTTTTAACTCTGCTGGAAAATAACACACATACCAAAATTCAGGAAGGAGCTAGAGTTACTTGACCGAACAGAGTCTGCAGGCTTGTTTGATGGGGAAGAAGTACAGATACCTACAATCAAAAGAAAAAATGTATGGGAAAGAATGAAAAAGGATTCAGATTACTACTTATCAGACCCCATAATTGTTAAGAATAAACATTTCCTCCAAAGTTATTAGAACTCCCAAATAAGCATCGCTTCAAATGTAACAAAACAAAATGGGTTGACATTAAAACTTTATTTTTGTGTATTTTTTAAAGTTTCTTTTCTTCATAAACAGATTGTAGAGTAAAGCCCAACACTACAGAGAATCACCAAAGCATCTGGAGCAAAATCAGTTATATTGTGAATCAGCTTATTAGGGATTCACATTTTGGCTTTTGATTTTATCTTACTGCATACTCTAACTACTCTCAGTATACTTTGAAACAATTTGTTCTCCATATTAGTTCATCCATCACAAGTCTGTGATTTTTCTTACATTATTCTCTACCTCTGGATTATCTTTCTCCACTTTGTAGCCCACTTTTTTCCCCATCATTTCCCCACTAGGCCCCTTAGAAACTCTCAAAAGCATTGTTATGTTGCTTTATTTTGCTATTTTATCTAAGTATAGATAGGATTAAAAATATATTTCTCTTCCCAGCATCTTAATATATTCATACATCAGTTTCTGCCCAGTTTTTAAAACAATCCAAGAACACATGGTCCACATTTTGCACATGTACTGTCCAGCAGTGAAAAATGATAATTTAAGGTTTACATATCTTTCCAAAAACAGCACATAATCAGGGAGAAATTATTAAATATTCATTTGTTTTGGTTTTTAACATTTTTAGAATGTTGTGTGAGGATTGCATATGTATTTGTACACACATACCTAATACTAGGGTTCTAGAAACACTTCCCCCTTCCTGGAGATAGAGCATCAATCACTAAAGTACATAGTGAATTTCAATCAGATTCAATTAAAGTATATATTTATTGAATACCTACCATGTGCCAAGCAGCGGGCTAGACACTGAGGAGAGAGATTAATAAAAAGTAGGTGACAGTGAGAAAGATCAGGAGATATCAATCACTTCTATACTACGTATGGGCTGAGTGTTGTATACATCCTTTAGAAAGAAAACTATTGTCCCAAAAGAAATACTGGATTCTTACATGAGACAAAGATTGTGCATATACATTTCAGATGGAACTGGTATTTTGCATATTGGCTTGTCACAGCTTTTTTGTGGGGTTTTTTTTTTACACAAAACAGCAACAACAAAACAGCAACACCATACGTGTGAACCTAATGTAAGTACTTAGTTGTATTATTATATAACAGGACTGATTGTCCTGTAGTTTACTTTTCTCATTTACTGAAATGTCTTGGTTTTTTAACTAAAGCAGCTCCAGTGGAACTACATTATGTCATAGATACATTTATGTTGCCTGCCTAATACTAATGCCTCCCTTCTCTGATAGTGAAATTTGGAGAAACCATCCCTCCCCAATATTCAGCTCCCATACTTAAGAGTGGAGCTGATACTACTCTAGATCAAGGAACTGACCTAGGAATAGGGCTAACTCAGTTGATTAGTTGCCATGGCACAACAGTTGTTTAGGTCTGAACTCATTCCTTCTGTCAGTTTCCAAGTGTAACAATTATTAAATATTGTTATGACCCTATCTTGCTTAATCAGGTCATTGAATATACTGGCAATAATTGGTTTAGGGATGGGCAGATGAACCAAACCAAGACAATCAGGCCCAATCAGCACTAGTCACCAGACTGTTGCATGAGCAACCAGGAAAGATTATTTTTTTTCCATCGTAAGGCTGAAAACACATGGTTAAACCCTGTCTATGAATGAGCTAACACAAAGTTAAGCAAAGCAGGAGATACAGACTGAGAAATTACATCTCAATTACATCGTTCCCCTTTTCTACTTAAGCTAGTTTAAATTGGGTTTTCTGTCACTTGAACCTGAAGGATTTCAGAGCAAATTGGAAGTTTCCCACCCAAAGCAGGCATCAGGCATCATGGCTGAAAGATTTAACTCTTGGTCATTCTATAATTCATTCTCCATACATCAGCAAGAATGATATTTTTAACAAACAGATCATGTAACGTCTCTGCCTAGAAACTCTTTTATGATGTGCCATTACACTTAGAATAAACTCCAAGTTACCCATAAGGATCTAACACCTCTTCCCCACCTCCACCATCTTTTCAGCCACACTTTACAATCCTTTCTTCTCTTAATACCCTGCAGCTATGATGGCTTCCTTTGAGTTCCTACAACACACCATGCTCACACCTCACAGCTTTCCTATATAGTATTCCCTCTCTCTGGAATGCTCTTCTCCCCGTTCTGCTCCTGGCTGGCTGCTCCTTCATGTCTCAGGTTTAATCATCACTTTTTTGAAGACTCCTAGATCACTCATTCTAAAATAGGCCTCTTTTGTTACTCTTATAATTACCCTCTTGGTTTCCTGCACAGCGCTTTTCACAATGTGTTATTATGTATGTATTTGTGAATGTATTTGCCTAATGTCTGAATCCCTCACTAGACTTAAGCTCCACAAAAGCAGAGCCTAATATCTGTTTTGTTCATCCTTATATACCCAGTGTCTTGCAGAATGCCTGGCCAGAGTAGGAACTCAATGAATATTCAATGGTGAATGAATGAATGAATGAATGAAGAAAGAAAGAAAGACATTAGGCTTAGATGCTAGTTTAAAATAACAAATGAAGAATCCTAATTTCATTAAAAGTAGGACCAGCTTTAACTACAGACCAGTAAGAGATTCAGGCCAACAGGAGAACATATGGAGTTCAGGTGTCACGAACCATCCGGAAGGGGAAGAGGACACGTTTCAAAGTACAGGAAGATAAGTCTAAAGCTTCAAGATCAGTTTGGGGGGCCATGTTTTGTTCCTCATTTAAGGATAAAAGATCAGAGGATGAAAGCAGCTGAGAAATAGAAATTAACCTGGATCTAGAGAATGATCTAGGAGGTTTTTAGTTAGAAATTAGACTCAGAGTTTCTAAGAGTCCCACTATATCTCGAATCTATGCCAACCTACATTCACCTGAAGTTTATGTAACTTTGACATCCCTAAGACAAGGTTGGAGACAGAGGAAAAAAAAGGGTATGGGGGGGTTGTTTATTGTAGTGAAAGAAAACTGGATGTTTCATAAGCTCAACTGATTAAACCAATCTGGCTAGCTATTCAAGACACTCATTTCTTTCTTTTCGCTATTTTATTTTCCCTATTTTATACTATAATTTCCTCTTGAAATGTTTAGATTCTCATTTGACCAAATTTACAGGAAAGAGTACATTTTCCAATCATACTTTAGCCATCATAGGTGAGAAATCAATTGACTTCAGAGATCAGGTGTGGTGGCAAAGCAGACTAGCACATGTTTATGGATAGGGAGATAGAATTATTAAAACTCAGTAAGATTCAGCTTTCTTATTTAGACAATAGCTTAAATCAAGTTTTCTCAGTGCTCTTTGTCCCTCCCTATAAGCCCAGTATAATACCTGAAGGCAATTCTGGCGCGCTAAGACCCCCACCCCTTCAGATCCAGTCACCAAACATCTTTTCAGCCACACTTTACAATCCTTTCTTCTCTTAATACCCTGCAGCTATGATGGCTTCCTTTGAGTTCCTACAACACACCATGCTCACACCTCACAGCTTTCCTATATAGTATTCCCTCTCTCTGGAATGCTCTTCTCCCCGTTCTGCTCCTGGCTGGCTGCTCCTTCATGTCTCAGGTTTAATCATCACTTTTTTGAAGACTCCTAGATCACTCATTCTAAAATAGGCCTCTTTTGTTACTCTTACAATTACCCTCTTGGTTTCCTGCACAGCGCTTTTCACAATGTGTTATTATGTATGTATTTGTGAATGTATTTGCCTAATGTCTGAATCCCTCACTAGACTTAAGCTCCACAAAAGCAGAGCCTAATATCTGTTTTGTTCATCCTTATATACCCAGTGTCTTGCAGAATGCCTGGCCAGAGTAGGAACTCAATGAATATTCAATGGTGAATGAATGAATGAATGAATGAAGAAAGAAAGAAAGACATTAGGCTTAGATGCTAGTTTAAAATAACAAATGAAGAATCCTAATTTCATTAAAAGTAGGACCAGCTTTAACTACAGACCAGTAAGAGATTCAGGCCAACAGGAGAACATATGGAGTTCAGGTGTCACGAACCATCCGGAAGGGGAAGAGGACACGTTTCAAAGTACAGGAAGATAAGTCTAAAGCTTCAAGATCAGTTTGGGGGGCCATGTTTTGTTCCTCATTTAAGGATAAAAGATCAGAGGATGAAAGCAGCTGAGAAATAGAAATTAACCTGGATCTAGAGAATGATCTAGGAGGTTTTTAGTTAGAAATTAGACTCAGAGTTTCTAAGAGTCCCACTATATCTCGAATCTATGCCAACCTACATTCACCTGAAGTTTATGTAACTTTGACATCCCTAAGACAAGGTTGGAGACAGAGGAAAAAAAAGGGTATGGGGGGGTTGTTTATTGTAGTGAAAGAAAACTGGATGTTTCATAAGCTCAACTGATTAAACCAATCTGGCTAGCTATTCAAGACACTCATTTCTTTCTTTTCGCTATTTTATTTTCCCTATTTTATACTATAATTTCCTCTTGAAATGTTTAGATTCTCATTTGACCAAATTTACAGGAAAGAGTACATTTTCCAATCATACTTTAGCCATCATAGGTGAGAAATCAATTGACTTCAGAGATCAGGTGTGGTGGCAAAGCAGACTAGCACATGTTTATGGATAGGGAGATAGAATTATTAAAACTCAGTAAGATTCAGCTTTCTTATTTAGACAATAGCTTAAATCAAGTTTTCTCAGTGCTCTTTGTCCCTCCCTATAAGCCCAGTATAATACCTGAAGGCAATTCTGGCGCGCTAAGACCCCCACCCCTTCAGATCCAGTCACCAACGCAGAACACACCGTACCCCTACTTCTTAAAAACGTGCCTCCTCACCCACGAGCTGCTGCTCCATCTCTCTGGGGGCAGCCATTTTCTCTTTCAGGTAATAAAATCTCTTGCATTGGGCCCGTTTCTCCTGAGTCATTCTGGGGTAAGGAGGGTTGCGGCGAGATACCCTTTCAATACCAAGTAGTTATTTGGTCCTTGATGATTAACCAAATGGATCAAGTTTGTAAAAAGTATATAGCCCTGTTTTACATACTTTGCAGTTATATGTGAAAAAGGATCTCTAAGATAATTTTCCACAGTCTTTGGGTTTTGTTTTCATTACAATCTAGCAAAAATAGTAAGAAACAAATTTCTATTGCTAATAATATATGGTAAAAATGGAAATGTGTCATTACTTACTTCATTAAAGCAACACATTTGTTTGACAATATGCTTTGCTGTGGCTATTTTTAAAAAATACGTCTGAGGCTAGATTTCTGGGAATTTAAAATAAAAGTCATATAACAGCACCTTAGGATGGGTAGAAGGTGCCAAACATTATACTATTATTCCTCTCTGTTAAACAGGAACTTGCCCTCCCCTCACACTCTACTCAATATTAGCCTTGTGGAGCCCAGCACCACACAAGGCCTGGGGGATAACCGTTCTGAGCCATTGGATCCTGGCAAGGCTCTGTTTAGGAATAATATTACTGATGTTTTCATGGAGTGGTTATGTAAGAAATAATTGCATAATTGTGAAAGTGGTATATATATTCTAAACAATAAGTATAAAGAAACTTACTCTTTTTCATGTTGCGTAAAATTTTCAAACTCTACAAAAAGAAAAAAGGAAAATGTTAGTTTTTTTTCCCTGTGAAATAAATCCAAAGCACTTTAAGTAGAAATAGTGACTTTAGTAAAAGGATTAATTTCCTTAAAAATAGCCACCAAAGAAGCTTAGAACCTACCCCCCCACCCCCCCTGTGTTGAGAGAAAGCTTCTGCATCCATGGATGTTTTATTGCCCTTGTCTAGCTCGGATTAACACATAGTCTACAGGCACACACCTGATCATCTACAATTGCTCTCTTACAACACTAAACTATGTTTTCTACCTTTATCTTGCATCTACCTACCACTTCAGCAGTTTATTAAAAATAAAAATAATAATAATAATAAAGGGAGAAATGTGGGATCCACATATAAATCAAGTATAAAAATCAAACAAATATTCATATTTGACCTGATTGTTTATAGTTCATAATGCGTGATCAGAACCGAAAGTTTCTGTGATGACTGCCCTTGTACTGTTCACCATGGAAGAACTTATTCACTATATAAGAATTCGTTCACTTTGTAAGAACTTGTTCGTTATGCTTCAGAAAATTGGAGACTGATGAGAACTAGGCTTGAGATGGATTAATGATTGTGCATTGAGCATTGACCCCCCTATACAGAATTTTATTGTTGTTAACAACCATTTGATCAATAAATATGAGAGATGCCCTCTCAAAAAAAAAAAATAGCCACCAAAGTGCATAAAATTACTTTCCCATCTTGTAATTTTAATTCAGTACAAACTCTCCACCTGATTTCATCTTGCTATTTTTCCCATCCTTATAAGAATCACATTGTGTATTTAGAAATAGTGCTATCAGAATACCAGGAGAAAAGATGGAGGTTCCTGCTTCTCTTCTGCATTCCGAAATCCACAGTGACTTCTGAAGCTAGGCTGATACACAGCCATTCCCATTCTAACCAATAATTTTTGCGAATCATACATACTCTACCCTCAGTTTACTAAGGTCCACTCCATGCTGTTACCGTGCTGCTTCGTCCCACTTTCTTTTGGCAAACCCATGTCCTCTGCCTCCATCATTGTGGAGTCTCTAACTGACTTCTCCCAGGAACCTACCCAGATTTCTTTTCTTCACATTACCCCAGCATGAATGTTTTTAATCTGTTTTGTGGTATTTTACTCTTCTTGATAATTTTCATGTTGTTTCTCATTCTAGGTATTCTGCTCCAATAGCTTAACTGTACTCTTTTCGAGGGCTGTAGATATCCTTTGTGAAATTTCTATTTTCCTAACACCTAACAGAAAGTACTTTTCTATATAATAAATATTTTTAAAACTTCCTATATAATAAAATTTTAAAAATCATTTAATAAATGATTATTTTAAATCTCAATAAAATTTTCCTCCCCCTGCAGATAACCATTGTTGTTAGTTTCCTGTATAACTTCTCAGTTACTTGTGCACATATAATCCAAATATAGACCATATTTTCTCCCTTTTAAGCAAAAGTTAATGAATTATACATAAATATATTGACAGCCATCATTCTTTTTTTAGCAGCATTAAGTCTTCCATTGTACACATATACCATGATTTGTGATTTATTTCATCAGTTTCCCTAATAATTAACATTTGTGTTAATAATAAGTTCCAATTATTTGCTCTTATAGATATTCTAATTTTAATTTTAATCTAATTTCTCATCTTAATGCTGGTAGCAGGGTGGAGCAGAGAAACACCTTCAGTAATGGAAAGCCTCTGGCTTGTTTCCTAAAACTCCCATGTTCTTATTTTTTTAATTACCCATTGGACAACTGGAGTTTTAAAATAAATTAATATGTGCAACCATCACCACAATCTACTTTTACTATTATTATCTTAGCTTTTCAGAACTTTAGTTTTTATTATGATTTTTTTTTATTAAGGTATCACTGATATACAACCTTATGCTCAGGTTTCATATGAGCAACACCACAATCTACTTTTAGAATGTTTTGTTCCCGCCAAAAGAAATCCCATACCTATTTACATTTACTCTCCACTGCACATCTCAAAACATGTCCCGCCCCCGTCCAAGGCAACCACTTATCTACTTTCCATCTCTGTAGAGTTGTCTATTCTGGATATTTCCTATAAATGGAATCATATACCATGTTGTCTTTTGTGACTAGCTCCTGTCCCTAGGCATAATCATTTTGAAATTCATCTATGTTGCATGTGTCAATAAGTCATTCTTTTGTTGGTGAGCAGTGCACCACTGTATGGTCATGCCACACTTTGTTTTTCCTCTCAACTGCTGGTGGACATTTGAGTTTGCTGATGGACGATATTTAGGACTACTACAAATACAGTTGCTTCCAATATTCGTGTGCAAGTCTGCATGTGGATGCATGCTTTCATTTCTCTTGGATAACTGCATAGAAGAAGAATTGCAGGGTTATGCAGTTACTCTATGTTTAACATTTTGAAAAACTGCCAAACTGTTTTCCAAAGTAGCTATGCCACTTTACAGTCCTACTTATGAAATGAGGGTTCCAGCTTCTCCAGATCCTCACCAATACTTGTTTCCATCCATATTTTTTATTACAACCATGATAGTGGGTGTGAAGTGGTATCTCACTGTGATTTTGATTTGCATTTTCCTAATGACTAGTGATGCTGAGCAAATTTTGATGTCTTTATTGGCCACTGGTATAGCCTCTTTGGAGAAATGTCTATTCAAATCCTTTGCCTATTTTTAAATTTGGGTTGTGTTTTTATCATGGAGTTGTAAGATTTATTTAAATATGTTCTGGATGCAAGTCCCTTATCAGATATATGATTTGCAAATATTTTCTCCCGTTTTGTAGACTTTTAACCTTCTTGATGGTATGTTTTGTTTGCAGCACAAAGTTTTTAATTTGGATGAACACCAAATTCATATAATGTTTACTTTGTCATTTGTGCTTCTAGTGTTGTATCTAAGAAACCATTGCCTAACTCAAGATACAATTACTCATATGTTTTCTTTTCTGATTTTGTTCTTCTTTTCAAAATTGTTTTTGTTTATTAGGGTCACTTGAGATTCCATATGAATTATAGAATGGGTTTTTCTATTTCTGCAAAAAAGGTCATTGAGATTCTGCTAGGGATTGCATTGAATCTGTAGATCACTTTGGGTAGTAGTTCATCTTAACAATATTAACTCTTCCAGTCCATTAACACAGGATGTCTTTTCATTTATTTTTCTCTTGCTTAATTTCTTTCAGTAACATTATAGTTTTCAGTGTATAAACCTTTTGCCTCCTTGGTTAAGCTTACTGATGAGTATTTTATTCTTTTTGATGTATTTTAAGTATAATTGTTTTTTTAATTTCCTTTTTGGATTGTTCATTCTTTCTTCCTATTTAATATAAGCATTTACAGCTGTAGCATTCCCTAAAGCTGTAACTGCTTTTAGCTGTACCCCATGAGTTTTAGTCTGCTGTGTTTTTGTTTTCATTCATCCCAAATTATTTTTTAATCTTCTTTGTGTTTTTTCCTTTATGCATCAATTATTTAAGAGTATATTGTTTAGTTTCTACATATTTGTGAATTTCTCAAATATCCTTTAGTCATTGTTTTCTAATTTAATTCTATTTTGGTTGGAGAACATACTTTGTGTGATTAATCCTTTTACATTTTTGAGACTTGTTTTATGGCCTATTGTCTACTCTGGAGAATGTTCCATATAGACTGAATAAATAATGTGTATCCTATTTCTGTTTGAGGGACTGTTCTATAATTGCCTATTAGATCTGCCTGGTTTATGGCATTGTTCACGTCTTCTGTATCCTTGTTGATCTTCTGCCTGGTTCTATCAATTAACAAAAGTACAATATTAAGATCTCCAACTATTATTACTAAATTGTTTATTTCTCCCTTCGATTCTGCCTATTTTTGCTTCATGCATTTTGGGATTCTATATGTGCATACTTAAGATTATTATATCATCAATGGATCAACCTTTTTATCATTATAAAATGTCCCTCTTTATCTGTAGTAAGATTTTTGTTTTAAAGTCTAGTTGGGCTGATATTTCTTTACCTTACTCCTTGTGAAACTTTTTCCAAGAGTCTTCAGTGTCTGTTTTGAAGATGTTGGATTTTCCACGGTGTTAGGACAGCTAGTTGAATAAGTCTCTAGAGATTGAGCCAGCATACCTTTAAAAAAAAAATGTTTTGTTGCATACCTTCTTAAGCCTTCAAGCTATATATAGGTATCTATTCAGTAATTCTCAACTTGCCTTTTTTTATGCATTACTTTTACAATATATTATGGGTTTTAAAAATGTATTATTTTATCTTATTTAATAATTCTTTATACCTTTTCCATTTAGGTCCTACTTTACTGTTAACCTTTTAACAGTGTCATTTTTATAGTTTTTTTGAGAGGAAAGTACTGCCACTTACAATCTTCATCAGCAAGAAAGAAGGACTCTCGGGTTCTTTCTGGCAGTGGAGGTGGTGGAGGAGAAGAACGATCTTGATGTAAATCTATGGTAAGAAAAGTATACAACAGAACAAAACAAAAATCATCAGTTAAAAGTCTTAAGTCAAAACTCCTTTTTGATTTTCTATAACTTTTCCAGTTTTTCAAAGATTAATCAACAACAACCAAATAAAAATTTATCTACATGATGAATGGAACCTCAAGAACTTTCTCAGTCTAGCTCTTTAGCCAGTGAGCCTTTATCAAAAACTTAGCTCACTTATAAAAGTATTCATCCAAAGTAACTGGACCTGAATTTGATCAAATCTAGTTCTAGACTGATAGGGAGAGAGGAACATGTTAAATAAAACCATAAGGATACAAAAAGCCAATCCAGATTTTTAGCAGTCTTTAGGACAAATGACCCACTCTCTTTTACAAATAATGGCAGGAGAAAATATAAAAAGAAAGGAAAATTGTTACCGCTTTTAAAAGACTTAAGAAACATACAAACCAAATGAACACGGAAATTTTGTTTGAATCCAGATTCAAATAAACCAACTGTAAAAATACATTTTTGAGACAATTTGAGAAAACTGAACAAAGTCTGGATATTAGATAACACTAAGGAATTATTGTTAATTTTATTGGTATGATAATGCTATTATGGTAGGTTTAAAATGTGTATTTGAAATTTTCCATAATAAGGAATTTTAAGTAATGGAGCTATTTTCCCACAATGTACTCCTAAAGATATAAATGGTGTATAATGTTCTCATTATACAGTGCTAAGTATAATTATATACTATATTAAAGTCTTTTGAAAATGAAAATAGGGTTGAGTGCTAGAGTTTCATTTTGGTCATTGTGTTTTTTAGGCCTTAGGATTTGTTCACAAAGCAAATTCTCTTGTTTATTTCTTATATGCTGGTTAATATACAAAAGTAAAGTACAAAACTTATTTCCAGCACCTAATACAATAACTGGCATATAGTAGGCACTCAGTAAATATTTGATAGCTACTCTGAAGTAGCTTATCATATTCCAGTTGCCATTAGCAAATTTTTTGAGCTAAAGCTAACTTTCAGTTAGTAATATCCTGCCAAATATCTTCCTAAAATACCATTTTCATCTTAATACTCTTCTGATGAAGAACCTACAGTGCTTATTACTTACTGTATTAAATCTCAATTCTTCTGCCTACCTTTGTGTATCTACAATAAAATACACATAACAAAATTTGCCGTTAGTGACAGTACATTTGCAGTGTTGTGCACCCATCACTCTGATCTAGTTCCAAAACATTTGCATCACCCTAAAAGGAAACTCCCATTTAGCAGTCACTCCTCATGCCCTCTAGGTTAGATGCACAACCACAAACTGCTTTCTTTCTCTATAGATTTACTTGTTCTGGATATTTCATCTGCCTAGCTTTTAAATTCTTCAGAATCTTCCTACGTTTTATCTATCCAAATTTATTTTCCATATTTCCCAAAACAGAACCTCTATTGCAATTAAATTAACCTATTCACTATTTCTCTGGACGCATCATGCTTATTTCTACATTTGAGATATGGTTACCCAGATCCCTCCTTCTGGAATTCCCTCCTTTTTCCTCTGTCTACTCATATTCTTACATTTCGGTCTTCTACTCAGTGAAGCCTTTCCTAACCACTCCAGGGATACGTTTTCTTTTTTCAGACTACTAGTGATTATAATCAGTGCCACACAGATTATCAGTAAAAAGCTCCAAGTGCATATTAATTTTGTCTACCCAATTTGAATATAAGCATTAAGCAGTACCTTTACTTATATATCCTGCCCATTCTGAGACTGTCATAAAGCACACAAAATTTGCTTACGAGTTGCTCACTTAATAATTATTTAATTAAAAATTCTCATAGGCAACACTTAATGAGAGCTTATTATTATGACAACTTAAGAAAGGAAATCTACTATCCTCATTTAATAAATAAGAAAAAATTGATAAGTATATGATTTAACCAAAGTTTTGCATTTGGTAACTATTGGTAGGCTGGGGATTTAAATTAAAGCCTATGTGACTCCAAAGCCCATGCTTTTTAACCTTTGTTATACTACTTATATATATATTTGAACAATTTGTTAATATGAATAATTATGTTAAGGGCAGCTACCACCAGTTACAGCATCTGCCCAATAAACGTTAGCTGTTGATGTTACTCAGTGTATAAAACAAGCAAAGGTCAGGAAAATACTGAAGAAACAATGGCAAGTTGAAGATCTAAATGGCCAGAAATAATTTTTTTAGAATCACACTGTTAACAGTGGTAAAACTTATAAAACAGAAATGTTGCAAAGTTTTAGGAGATTCTATCTGGAATAGTTTTTTGAGGCTTTTTTTGAGGATTATATATCGAAGAGCAGAATTCTAAAATTCTGTCTTTACCTTGCCCGTAACAGAACTTCTTGCCTGGGAAAAACCAGAAATCAATAAATAGTGGAAACTATTATGGGACCCTTGCCGTCTCCTAAGGTGAATTACTCTAAACTTAATGAGCCATTCTTAAAATGTAAATTTGTTGGGATTAAATGTCATCTAAAGCCAAAGGAAATTTTTACCTGATTTGATACTCCGAAGTTTTACACTCTAAAAAAAGAAGAAACGAAAAGTGAAAGAAGAATGTGTACACAAATTTAAAACGCATACCAACAAAAGGCATTTTTGAAATATATGTCATATACCTATAGAGAAAGTATGAAATGTTGACCCTATTTTTCCAAATTTCTAAGTATACTGAATTATGAAAAAGCATCCTTAGC